GTTAATGAAAGTCAGATCAAACTGGTTTCTCCTACAAAGCAAGGACATAATAATGGGGTGTCTATTTCAAATATGAAGTATAGACTTTAATAACATTTGAAGTAATAAAAATGTCAGATATATAAGTGGACATTGAAGTCAGCACTCAGAGGCGACAGACTATTTCATGCTAAATGCAATCATCAGGCTTAATGACTGGGTTTAACATGAAACAGTCTGTCGCCTCTGAGTGTTGACTTCAATGTCCAATTTTATATTTACATACACTATTTCTGATATTGAGCACTTTATCCCATAAATATAGCATACTTTATATATATATATATATATATAAAATCTCCCCAAGTATAGGATTGGTGTATACAGAATAAATTCCAATAACCAACAAATACTATTCTTAAAAGAGTGCTCAATACAGAGAAGAGCAAATGTAACTATTTATTCGAAAATTATGACATAAATATGTTATAAAATCACTACAAAATAGCCATTTTGTTTCAACACTTCTGGTGTCTTATCAAGTGACCTTGTCTCTCTCTCTCTCTCTCTATATATATATATATATATATATATATATATATATATATATATATATATATCTCATTTACCAGAGAAACACATCACAAATTTGTTATTTAGCAAATATGTCCAAACTTTCATTTACTCTAATCATTACATGGTGACAAAGCAAATATTAAAAGTATTTATTGAAATTCAATGAAAATCATTTTTCAATACAAATAATTTAATCTTCTCAGTGCCTTGTCCCTTCAGGCCGTGGGAGATTATGGTTCTCCACAACTTCCTGTTCTTTATAGCTCCTAGCAGTGCATCTTTTTGCTATCTCTCCTAATCCCTGTTCTGCCATCCATTTACACAAGCTTGTTAGGTATGTTATTCACTGCTTTCCTATCTCTCTTGCCTTCCACAGGCCTTGTGAGTGTTAAATTTTCCAAACCCACTTTTTTTATGCACCTTAGAAATTGCAATTGTCTCTTTCTGATTCCAACGAAAAGTGTTATTTTTGTTTCTATTTTGTCAAGACGTTCATCGTTGCTGGCTTACATATTCAAAAGATTTTGTTCAGGATTTTTTTTTTTTTTTTTGGGTGGGGGTTGTAGAAAAAAATCACATAGATCTGTTGGCACACAGGTTTATCTCCCTGCAACTTCTGTTCTTCCCCCAAAGCTAAAACAAGAGTTTTCTACTTATAGACAGGACTCAGAAGAATGTAACAAAATGCTTGATGATCACCATAAAAGAGAATGATGCCGATTATTTTCAAAAGCAGAAAATGATGAAAAAGTATGAGATGTCCCAAATTACTTTAAAGAGATGAAAGCATGAATGTCCAAAGTATTACTAGAGCCTTCAAAGATAGATCTTGTCAAACCAAAATCATGTTAAAATAACCGTCGAAAATATAGACGACCAACGTAATCTTCAAAACAAAACCCATTACAAGAAACAGTGATAAATGAATTCATTGACTAAACAGCTTATCAGTAGGTTCTGTTTAAATTGTGACTTCTGAAATGTTTGATAGATTTGTTTTTTATGGCTTATCAACCCTTTGCAAGTAATACATTCCCTGGTCCTGCCAGTTCAGACATTCACAGCAAGGACACACCATACCACTTATAGTAGGAAACCACCAACATTTCCTCCATATTCCATCGTTGAGGAGTAAGTTTTACTCAAACAGCTTCCTCACACAAACCAATGCTCTGTGGAATGGACTCCCAAGAGGATGTTTTTCCTGGCCACTACAATTTTAACTTGTCAAGGCTAGGGCTAACTTATCTTCCCCTCTTATCGACACAAATTGCCTCTTAATGTAACCTTCTACCTGAAGTGGGCCCTGGGCTTTGTAAATATGAACCTTACTGTAAAGAAAAGTTATTTAAAGCCAGAAAATATTTTTAGATTCTAATATTTTTTTTTTTTTTTTTTTTTTAGATTCAAAGATTAATTTTTTTTTTTTTTTTTTGTGAGATAAACTGAAATTGAAACTTGGCATTCAATTAACAATTCAAGTCCATTACACCACCTAATTAATCCACAGTACCTGGTATTTCCAAGGGTCACCCATCTACTTTTGACCAGACTTGATGTTGCTTAAAGAGATTGTGTGGTTGATTTGACTTCAGTCTGCAACATGTGGATTGAGGCTTTCTTTTCATTTTACCAATTTGATATCAAAAGTAAAGACAACCAAGGAAATCTTTTTAAAAATAAGTTATAACAAGAAAGGTAATGAATTGTGTAAACGTTTCGGTGGCTTCTGCCTTATTTGTAAATTTTGAACTTTCATTACATAATAAAATACATAATTGATGTGCTTGTTATGTAATAAATGTAATATAACAACAAAAATTGGCAATCTTTAACCTTTGTATCTGAAAAAAAAAAACTGTGGCAAAAGGACAGTTTTTTCCCCTCGACGTCACTATTATTTAAACTACCTTCACTCTCGTCAATTAAGAACAAAGAAAATATATAAATTCACATTCATATGCTTAGGTTTTCTTACAATTCTAATCATCGCTTTTTAAAACAATAAACATTGCCGAGGAGTGAAGGTAGTTAAAATAATAGCAGTGTCAAGGGAAAAACTGTCCTTTTGACATTTCATATTTTTATGGGCATAAAGGTCCAAGATTGGTGAAAATTCGATATTCACAGGACAGATTGAAGGCAAGAGGGACAGACGAGAACAATGCATAACCTACCTAGTGACTTTGTGTAAAAAGATGGGGCAGCAAGGTTAAATAGAGATAACAAAAAGACAACATTTATTAAGAACTACAAAGGACAGGAAATTGTGGAGAGCCATGATTGCTCACATCCTGGAGGGACATGGCACATAGAAGAAGAACAAGATTGAGTAAATGGATGACGGAACAAGGTTTAGGAGAGATAACTAAAAGACAAAATTTATTAAGAGCTACAAAGGACAGGAAATTGTGGAGAGCCATGATTACGAATGTTCTAATCATTGCTTTTTAAAACAATAGATATTGCCGAGGAGTGAAGGTAGTTAAAATAATAGCAGTATCAAGGGGGAAAAAAAAAAACAGCCTTTTCATAACATTTTTTTGCAGACATTAAGGTTAAGATTGCTAAAAAGATAAATCTTTTTAAGAAACACATGAGTAAGGGACCAGATTAATTAAAATGGTTCATTAGCTTCTATTTTAGTTGTGAATTTTGAACCTCTGCTTTATTTAATTTTAATACATCATTTCAAAACATTTCAATATGAAGACTTTCTAACAGATGCTATCATTTTTGACAGCATGGGTTCACTAGTATTGATATATAAAACTGGAGTTTATCTAAGCACCAAATTTTGTATTCCAAATATTCAACAAATATGTTTGTTTGTTTTACGGCATATCATCCTCAATGGGTTATTTAATGCCGACAAGATTTTTATTGCTGGGAATATTTTTAATCTATCTCAGTATATATTGGTTTGGTTTGTTTTGTTTTATGGCATATCAACCTCAATGGGTTATTTAATGCTGACAAAATTTTTATTGCTGGTAATGTTTTTCTTCAAAAATCTATTTCTGGGAATATTTTTCCTTGAAGAAATTTATAGCTTGTCATTTTTTTCAAAGAATGTATAGCTGTTTTTATTGCTGGTATTTTTTTCAAAAATTATAGCTGGTAATAATTTTTTTTTTTTTTTTTTTTTTTATTACAAAGTATTTCTGGTATTAAAACCTATTTTTACACAAGTTCAGGTGTTAACTATTTGCCCATAGCTTGGACCCTAACAGGTGCTACCACTCCAGGTCAGGGTGGGCCTGGGAACACCAGCAATTAAGAGGTGGTTCCACACTCCTCAAAACCTCCTGATCAGAAGCCTTGCTGCTGGACGTAGTTTATCGTCTTACCCAGGACACGAATGTAGTTTATCGTCATACCCAGGATGGTCAACAAATATGTCAAAACTTATTCTAAGGATTACATAGCCAGAGACATAGTAAATAACAAAAGAATATATCTATAAGTATACGACAAAATGTCCATAATACTAGAGTTCATAAGCAAATAAGTTTGGTATAAGGCTAAAATTGTGGAGCACATTGAAAAAATCAGTAGTTATAGTTTGCTTATGAGACTGTTACTCCTGACTCCACAACAAAGTATCTCTGATATAGAAAATAATAATAATAATAATAATAATAAAGTGTTTATTTAATCTTTATCTTCTACTAGAAAATTTATAGAGAATATTAAGAAATATGCCTCAAGGTTAAAAATGGTGTATTTTATGACCCTCCTCTCACAGAAGAATTTATCATACCCACTTTTTGTATGCATACAGGTTAGGATTAATGAAAGACAATAAAGACATGTATAATATAAAAGCCTTGTTAATAATTTTATGATTGGAATGCATTTCGAAAGCAGGAAGAAAAAGATCACCAGTGGTCAGGAATATTTTTTTGGTGTTTTCCGATCCAGAGAAATTGCTGGATTATTGCTTTTTATTTTTTTTTGCAGAAACTAAATGTTCACCTAATACAAGGCCCGAGAACCACACATGGTAGAGGATTATCAAATAATGTTGTTGTATACACAAGAATAGAAATTAAGTTCAGATTATGAGGATATTTTGAATAGCAAATAGTTGACCTTAGACTTTAAGAGATTGTAACAATTAGGGAAATAACCTCTTGGGAGTCTATTCCACAAGAGCAGTCCTCAGGATGTAGCTGTCTGAGTGGAACTTCCTCTTTATCAATGGAATACGAAAGGAATGAGGATTAGTTGACCCTGTGCATGTGGCATTGCAGGTCTTGGCTGCAAAGGTCTGAACTGGTGAAACTGAAGAATGTAGGTCGCCTGAACATTTGCCATAGAAATAGCAACAGGGGAGTGAGAAGCTTGCAACTTTTTGTCTGCAGGGAAAGGGGCTGTAGGGTTGGAAATAATTGCCCACAAGGCCATGTGAACATCATCATTAACAGGGTAAAGTAGTTCACCATATCAGAGAAGGAGGGAGGAAGGAGAGAGGGGGTGGAAGAAGGGGGAGAGAAGGGAGGATAGGGAGAGAGAAAGAGAGAGGAGAGAAAGAAGAGAGACAGAGAGAGGAGAGAGAGAGAAGAAGGGAGAGAAAGGGAGAGAAGGGAGAGGGGAAAGGGAGGAGAGGGAGAGAGGGAAAGGGAAAGAGAGAAGGGAGAGGGGAAAGGAAAGAGAGAAGGGAGAGAGGGAAAGGGAAAGAGAGAAGGAGAGAAGGGAGAGGGAAAGGGGAAAGAGAGAAGGGAGAGAGGGAAAGGGAAAGGAAAGGGAGAAGAAAGGGGAAGAGAGAAGGAGAGGGGAAAGGAGAGAAGGAGAGAGAGGGGAAAGGGAAAGAGAGAAGGGAGAGAGGGGAAAGGGAAAGAGAAGAAGGAAAGAGAGAAGGGAAAGGGGAAAGAGAGAAGGAGGGAGAAAGAGGGGAAGAGGGAAAGAGAGAAGGGAGAGAGGGGAAAGGGAAGAGAGAAGGAAGGAGAGAAGGAGAGAGGGGAAAGGGAAAGAGAGAAGGAGAGAGGGAAAGGGAAAGAGAGAAGGAAAAGGGAAAGAGAGAAGGGAGAGAGGGGAAAGGGAAAGAGAGAAGGGAGAGAGGGGAAAGGGAAAGAGAGAAGGGAGAGAGGGGAAAGGGAAAGAGAGAAGGGAGAGAGGGGAAAGGGAAAGAGAGAAGGGAGAGAGGGGAAAGGGAAAGAGAGAAGGGAGAATTTCATGATGAAGGAATTTTGCAGAAACCAGTTTCTGGATTGTTGCAATCTCCCCCCCCCAACCACCATACACTTCATCTCTTTCATTAAATCAGCTGTTTTCAGAAAATGAAGTGAGCACAATTAGCTCAGGCTAAATGAAAAAGAAAAAATGCTGAGTTTTTATTCTCATTTTTTAACATCATTTTCTGTAACAAAATATGGAAATATTTAAAGCATGATGATAATTTTAATTACCACTTTTCAATTATTCTTACAAAAAAAGGGGTGGGGAGGAAAAAAAGAAAAGAAAAACAGAAAAAATTTGTACATATAAAGAAAGAGAACAAGTTCCTAAAAATAATCTTGTCGCTGGTTGCAAATAATGAAATTTGGGAATTTTTGTGTGAAGTGAATGTAGTACAGATTTTACTATCCTTTGTGAGCAGTACTTTTTTTTTGCAAATTCATAGCATGGGGTAGGTTATATATATGAGAGAGATAATAGAGAGAATGAGGATGACAGAATGAATGATATATATATATATATATATATAAATAAAATGTAGGGGGTTATAATAAGTGGTACAGTTAATTAAAAAAAAAAGAAAAGTCACCCTTCATTTGGAAGAGAGTGGACAGTAATATTTTTCCATAAACAAATTTTTAGCACATATTATAAAGATTGCTTTAAAGAAAAATATCCCACATTTCCCCTGCAAAAAAGGGTTATAGTTTTGCTAAAGTCCTAAAAAAGTTTCATCTGAATTTCTGGAATGAGGAGTTGTCATTATTTACACCATTTATATTCAAACTATTGTCCTTATCTTTGTTGTTGCTATCACAATATCTCAGTCAAGAGTTTTTGTTTAGTTTTTTCTCCAAAATTTAACTAAATAAACTAGGATTGCATCTTTGAGTAAAACAAGGAAAAAAAAAAAAAAGAAAGAAAAAATTCAAAGCTTATTTCACAAGAGTCAGAGATTTTGACATCGTATTTTGATAGAGTTCCAGAATCTGAAACTGCCCCCTCCCAGTTAGACTGCTCTAATTACATCCAGTGTTATCAAATGTCATCATCCAGTTGAAATGTCAGTTACACAAATACAGAAAATTGTAGAATTTAAGTGACACTTGTGCTATAATAGGTTTGACCTAGTCATCCATAAACGTTTGCCTCATATTCTATATTCTGCCTTAATATGGACATGCGCATTGTTTTCTTACTTGTAATAAGAACTGTATTATTAAAAAGGTTAAACTAGACATTGTGGCCTTAAGCCATTTACCCAAAACTAGCTGGACCTGTGGAAATTCCACAAGCATTGACATGTAAGATTAGTTTGGTTTGGTTTGTTTTATGGCATATCAACATCAATAGGTTATTTAGTACTGACAAATTTTTTTTATTGCTGGTAATATTTTGTTTTGTCAAAAATCTATTTCTGGTAATATTTTTTTTTTTTTTTTCATCAAAAATGTATAGCTGGAAATGTATTGCTGGTAATATTTTTTTTTCAAAACTATATTGAATTTTCTTGCTTTTGTTTATCAGAGCAAAATTTGTTCTTACAATTAAATTTTAATATTTACGTATTGCTGGTAATATTTTTTTTCTTCAAAAATTTCTTGCTGGTAATAATTTTTTTACAAAGTATTTTCTGGTATTAAAACCTATTTTTACACTTTCATAGTGTTTTTACCGCCGTTTTGGAGTTAACTATTTGCTCATAGCTGGGGCCCTAATAGGTGCTACCACCCTGGGTCAGCAATTAAGAGATGGTTTCACGCTCCTCAAAACCTCCTGATCAGAGGCCTTGCTGTTGGATGTAGTTTATCATCTTGCCAAGAATGGGATATGTAAGATTAGCTACTGTACTTTTCATTCTCTCTCTCTCTAGCCAATCTTTGCTGTTGTTTTGTCTAAACATTTTCTGAACATGGATTAGTTTCCATATATTTTCTAATCTTCCTCACTTTCATCTTTCTTCTGCTCTGTCTCTCCATAAAGAATTTTAATGTATTGCAATTTTGACTCTTTTACATCCCTGCTTCTGTCTAGGTCTTCTTTTTATTTCCATCCATTTCTTTCATTCTGGAAAGAATGAACTATAACAAAGGATTGGAAAAACTTGCCTTCCCAAAAAGTCTGAAAAGAAATATTCTATAAATTCAAACCAAGAGTACCACAAACTGTTCAGTCAATGAATGTCAAAGGTTTCCTGCATGGAAACGGCTGATCACACCATTACTTTTTGACAGCATATAACGCAGTGGTTTTCAACTGCCATGTTACAGAAAACATGGGGGGGGGGTAATAGTACAGCATTAGTATTTGCATAAATGAATAAGTATTAAACATTTTTTTTTTAAATGGGCTCAGGTTTCATACTAAATAAGCTCCACAAACAGTTGAATAGAAACATTGAAATAAAGTAAGTTCATATTTGTCTGTGTATTTTTTTTAAAATTGAGGTTTTATTTCAAAACATTCTAAGGTATACCCTTTAAAAATTTTGGCTACTTCTTGATTTAATAGATAACAAAGAGTAGAGCTTAGAAAAATTGCCAAGAGGATATTTATAGCAAAGATATATATATATATATATATATATATATATATATATATATATATATTTTTTTTTTTTTTTTTTTGAAGCATTTCACCCCAAGCAGAGTGGGAGTGCCACTAGCATGCAAGGGGTTACAAACAGAGTTGGAGCAAGATTAAAGAGGCATGAGAGGAAAGGATGAAGAGAAGGATGGGGGAATTACATCAAGGCATCTGAAGATGTTGACTGACATTGCATTTGAATAATTGAAGATTATAGCTATCAAGGAAGTAAGAGGAAGGGAGTTCCACAGACGGGAAGTGCGAGGCATGAAGCTATTAGAGTAGAATATATGGCTACATTTAACAGTTTTGACATTGAAAAAAAAATAAAATAAGACAAAGGAATCTTTAGTGGACAAAAAGTCATGCCCAATCAAAAATTGCCAATTGGTCAAACTCTTTTCTTAAAAGACAGTTCTGAAATATAGAGCAAGTAAATTTGACAGTACAAAGATTACATAGAATCTAACCTCTTTCAAGAATTATGTGCCTGAAGAGGACAAAATGAACAGCTCTATCTACATTTTTCACATTCTATCTTAATGAAGACAAAGGAAAAAATAGCCAAAAGTAACCTAAAAAGGCTTAAATTCAGGCATTAAAAATGGCTTCCTATTCTTACACCAATGCCATTTTTCACCCACCCAAAAATCAATCCTACATTTCAAAGTCTTGCGGGACACAAGAGAAATATAGTAAAGCATGCATTTTTCTGGAAGCTAGATCTTTAAGAATTTTATTTTAACTAATATCAGTGCTTTTATTGCAATATTTTGGATTATCTTATCTCGAGTTTTAAAATGCAATATGATTATTTTAAGACAACTGTAACCAACTAAGTGAAATACTGTTATTGATTTTAGTATTACTCATCAATGACACAACATGCATTTCAAGCAAAACTGTTTCCTCACACCCCACAATTAGTACTGTTGGATTACTGCTCACCTGATGATAATCAAATGTGGCAGAAAGCAATGGTCACCCTTGAAATATTAATAATTATAGCAATATAGAATTTGTTTATAGATGAGAAGAATAATAAGTTTGTGCCCAGAGAATCTGTGCTTCATCAGAATTATTAATATAAAATGTCAAAACAATAGTGTTTATATGAACTATGGAATACCAATTGAGACTGTTCATTTAATCATGAAGGGGGAGAGGTTAGTAATCAGGTTGTATTCTATACCCCAGGTTTTTGTCGCTACCACTGCATATATTTAAGTGTATGTTTGTGTGAAAACAGTCAGAGTTGAAGTGGAAGTTGGAATTGGAGCTGGGTGAAGTAGGTTGATAAGCAGTCAACCAGCGAGAGAGAGAGAAATAGTGAGAGTGAAAGCATCCACTTCCTGCTGTAATAAGGGAGGAAGTGAACACAAGTTATCTGCAATATTGGTGCAATACTGCCAGTGAACACCCTTATATCCTGATAGTAGTTGCCGTAATTATTTCACTAAGAACAAAAAGGGTGAACCCAAAAACTACTTCTCTCCTTTCAGAATTATTTGCAATATTTGTTTGTTTTTTTTTTCTGGACTTTATTTTATATACCCTACTTTCTTGCAAAAGAAGCATTATTCTTTTTCTACCAATTTCTTCCTTATAGACATATTTCTTTGGACTCAAATGTGGCTGGAAAGTGGAATTGAATAGACATTGTCAACCAGAGACTTTGATTGAACCTGTAATATTGGACCAGGACGATCCTGTCCTGGTCCAATATTACAGGTTAAATCAGCCAGTCTTGTAAAATACATTGATCTGGTGGGGGGGGGGTCAAGATAGGTGTCACACAAAAGCAGCACAATATCTGAAGGAATCTTCCACTTTTTCTTATGATTTTCAGAGTGATAAGACCTGTTTCCTTCTGCTTAGATACAGACGAGGCTTGTAAGCACTTCAGAGACAGATTGAAGATGGTATTGAACTGTTCATAATTGTTTCTTTCATAATCCTTCTGTAACCTGTTTTTTTCTTAATACATTTATTAATTGCTATCAGTTGGAATGCCATGTTTGAGTTATTTTTTTTTACCCAAACTTACAAGAGTCCACCAAATATCATTTGTGGGACAAATGTACCAGGAAGAATAAAAATGATAATTTCCATTCCTGCAATAGTGCCAATAGTGATTTTAAAATTTTAGTACAAAGTTAAAGAATCTGTATAATAAAAAAAAAAAAAAAAATAACCTCTCATGGATCATATATATATATATATATATATATATATATATATATATATATATATATATCTCTGTGTGTGTTTAAATTCATTGAGGAACAGAGCCACAAGATATCATTGCGGTTTCTGTAACAAGCAAGTTTTTAAGTGAGTATGTTGTTAGCCTACTGCACAACCCCCAACCTGGAGGATCAGGTTTTGAATTCAGAATTGTCCTTCTTCTATACTAGTGGCCATCCAAGGCAATAGAACCCAATCTGATCTGCTATTTACCTATGGCTGGAGGAGAAGAAGTGGATTCATGCCTTTTCCAAAGGTATTAGCACGTAAGTGAATGTAATGGATTCGACTGGAATTTGAAATTGGCTCTCTGATTCCTCAATCCGAGCCACTATCCATTACTCCACTGTGCCTTTTCACCTGAAAAAGATTTTTCAGGTCATTTATTCGTCACGTTATTCACCAGAATTAGTCATAACATTCATGCAAAAATTTTCTTTTTCACTACTATGTCAACAATAAAGTGGAACAAAGTCCATGAGCAAAAATCGAATTAATCCCCTATTAATAATCCCCACCCACTATATATAAAATTTATATTATGATTAAGAATAATGCTTCAAAAGAAAAACACCTACTTAATACTCAGATGAATAATTAGGCCTGAAAAATAAATTCAGGAATTGTGATAAAAAGCATCAATGTTGATTGTTTTATTTCAACTAATCCTATCAGAAGAATGTATCAAAATTTTGTTATATCCATTTAAGAAATCGTAAGTCACATGAGCATTTGTTTTTTAATATTTTCAGTTTCCAAATTAACAAAAAGATACTTTTTTTTATTTTACTGGTTTTTACAGTTTATCAATCTTTTGCTGGTTATTTAAAGCAAGAAAATATTTTTAGATTCTAAAAATTTTTCAGATAATGATTTACTGGTTAACCCACATGTGGGGGGAGAAGGGGTGGATTCATACCTTTCCCAAGGGTATTTGCATGTAAGTCAATACAGTGTAACCCGGATATAAGAGAGATTTTCTCTGGTCCCAAATTAGAGCCTGTGTTAATGTATATAAAATAGACCAAACCCGGATATAAGAGAAACCTGGATATAAGAGACTTCTTCTCCAGTCCCGACAACTCTCTTATATCCGGGTTACACTGTATAACAAACTCAACTGAAATCAGAACTCAACTCTTTGATTTCAAGCTTTTATCCATTACACCATCCACACCGGCAAGATTACGGCACCAGGTATTCCCAAGTGATCACCCATCTCAGTACTAATCAGGTGCAATAATACTTAACTTCAGTGATCATATGAGAACCTGTGTTTTAAACATGATTTGGTTGTAAGCCCACAACAAAAGATACTGAAATATTTTTAATCTATTCTCTTCTGGAGTGATCATCACGGAAGGTGTTGTAGCATACCTACAGATGATAATGGGTATGTCCCCATTTATATAAATACAATAGTAAATACTGTATGTTAGTCTGCAGTTGGAGATTCATCTCCAGCTGTGCTGGTCAAACTCTCTGCTTCCAGGCAGAGAGGACCCCCAGACAAGGCTATGTCGAAGGGCAGAGTCTCATCTTGGGAAACAGCTACCTGACTACAGTTTTATATGGGGTCTACACCCACCATTAAATTCGGCCTTGTGCCGCATCTGACTGCATGGGGAGGTTGGTAGATATCCTATAGTTGTAGGTTTATTATGGAATTCACTTAACTCACTTCTTGCAGTTGAATACTTATATGTGCTACTGGCGAATCTTATATGTGTTGTTCGTGTCCTAAGTATTATCGTTCATTACCAACCTTTGTGTGATTATTCTATTCAGTAACCTTCCCTAGGTTGCAACAGAAGGTGAAACACAAATTTGTGTCAGATTAAGTTTGTAATTGAAACTATGATATTCAAATATGTCTCAATATATCGAGATATACATGTATTTACTCTCTGTCTTTATGTTCTACTTTTAATTGGTATACACTTTAATTTTATTTATTTATCTCTATTGAGGCATGAACCTGGTTTTTTCTCCAACTTCTGCCCTGCCTCTTTTTTTTTTTTTCTTTTGCCTCTGCAGGTTTCTAATTTTCATACCAACTATGGTAGTTGTGATTTTTCTTTACGATTTTACTGCCATAAAAAAAAAAAAAAATCTGTACATGTTCTTGGTAAACTGCAACAAGGTTCAATCTAGGAAGTGGTTTATCATCAGTTAAATAATGGGTGTGACTTCTACATTTTATTCACTAGGCCAATCTGGAACAGATGTTTCCCAACCATTGGAGGAACAACTGGCATTTTGGCTCCCAATTTTTTACTATTTGTTTCAAGATATGCCGCCATAGCTGCCCTCAATTCTTCATTATCAAATGCCAACTTGCAACCATAACAATGGTCATCTTGGAGCATGCAACCAAAGGGAACAGGTAAATTGCAACAAGGGCCAAATTAGGGAAGTTATTTATCATCAGCTACATAATTGATTACTGGCTTCTACATTTTATTGAATTGAACAATAAAATACATTCGGTGTGTATACATTGAATGATAACTTGCAACAGTTACTTGCCATATTTTCTGGGAATTTTAAACAAAAGTAAGATTGTCAACTCAAAGCTGGATTTCTGATTATCAGACGGAAACAATTTTTCATCAACAATAATCATGCAGATAAAATAATTGCAAATAAATAAGTCTCTGTCATGATGTTCTGAAGAACTCTGTTTTTGTTATGTGAAGGTTGAGGCAGAAGCAAATTTGTCAACTCAAACGAAGTCACATTTCTGATTATCAGACAGAAACAATTTTTCATAAACAGTAAGCACGCAATCAAATTGGACAGGCAAACTGCAACAAGGTTCAATCTAGGGAAGTGGTTTATCATCAGTTAAATAATGGATGATTCACTTCTATATTTTATTCACTTGGCCAATCTTGAACAGATGTTTCTCCAACCATTAGAGGAACAACTGGCATTTTGGCTCCCAATTTTTTACTATTTATTTCAAGATGTGCCACCATAGCTGGCCTCAATTCTTCATTATCAAATGCCAACTTGAAACCATAACAATGGTCATCTTGGAGATCTGGATCACCTGAAATCTAATTTTGGGAACCAACAAGGCATACGTCATTCTGAAGTTGATTCAAACATCCTACTCAACCCAAAGAACTGTTAATATTACAAGTGACTTCAGCAGCATAATGGCTGCATGAAATTTTTCTTTTTTTTGTAATACTAAAGTTCACCCAACATAAGGCTCAAGATTAACTCAAGGTAAAGGATTACAGAAAATAAAATGGTAATACAGAATACGGAGTTTTTTTTTTTTTTTACAGCTTACTTGTTAAAGCCAAAAATATTTTGGATTGTAGGAGGTTGCTTAGAGTACCTGGTGTTCCCAAGTGATCACACAGGTATTGACCCAACTAAACATTGCTTAACTTTTAATGCTAAATAAGGTATTAAGGGAAGGTTTTAAGAAATGAAAATTATAAGTATAAGATGATGGTTGAACTTTGACCTGGAGAGGTCAAAATTGAGGGGTTCAAGGAAACAACCACACAGAAGTGTTTCATTAAATGGCAGGTTTTTGGAAAAAGCTCGGTGGAACTTCTTACATTTGGGACATGGGGGAAACGAGGGTGATTCAACTCCATGGAAATGGTATGGCATCTCCTAGCTGGAAAGGCCTGAACTGGTGGAATTAAAGAATGGAGATAATATGTGAAAATGTACAGTGGGAAAATCCAATCAACTAGTGACAGGCTTGCAACATTTGTGGGAAAGAGGTTACAGAGTAGGAAAAAAAAAATGTTGTCACCCACAAGGCCACATAAATGAAGCTGGAAAGTTAGGATTGAACAGTTCCAGCCCAGATATAGATAATGTTTATTCAGTATTGAAAAAAAATAAATTCTGAACATGGCAACACAGATTTAAAATGCTATTTATAAAGTGCTGAAATATTTTCAGCCGAGTAGTCAACATTTAAACAAATAACTAAATATCAGGTTTTTAGTATCTGTCTATATTTCTGGGATGAGGTATTATGTACACTATTTACATTATTCAGACTATTGCCCTCATCTTTGTCGCCATATTTATTACAATGTTTCGGCCGTTGTGCACTCCGGCCTTCTTCAGGTGGTTGGAATGTCGGACTGAACCTTTGCTCACTGGGGTAGACTATGAGCTCTGGTAAAAACATGTAATGTTAACAGCAAAAATTGCAATATGAGCACTGTTAAAAAAAAATGGTTGCTGAAGACATTAGGTTTATAATACCCAGAAATTTATACACAGATGTCCTCAAGGACACATGGCACAGTGGATAAAGGCGTTGGTTAGATCCAGTGACAGGACCCAAAGAATGTGAGTTCAGTGAGTGTGGAGAACTTGGAGAGGGGAATTAACAGGAGATAACTGATAACTGACATCCATTAAACATAGCACATGGAACTAAAACAGTCTCCCCCAGTGAGCGAAATAAAGGGTTCAGTTCGACATTCCAACCACCTGAAAAAGGTTGGAGGATACAATGGCCGACAAAGAAGAGGACAATAGTCCGAATAATGTAAATTCAGTATCAGGTTTTTAGTTTTGTTTTTTTAATCCCTCTGTGGTAAGACTTAGAACTTTTTAACATTTCCTTCATAAACATATATATAAGTGGAATGACTTTAAAAACTGATACAACTAATGCCATACAAAATGGACTATTAATAAATTTTTAACAAATGGTTCATTTACTGCTTATAGTAACTAAAACCAAGTACTAATATTTTTTTTCTCATTTGATTACAAAGAGAAATAAAAAAAACAAACAATTTATACAGTGAAGAGAAAAAAATAAAATAAAAACAAACCAAGATTCTGGTATCGTATTTTTCCGGCCGGATTTCATGTCTCAAAAGACACTTAAAGGTTATTTTCTGTCGGCGGTCCAAAACGTCTCGCAGACTATCTGGAAAAAAAAAAAAATGATGTAATCATCAGCAGTAAAGAACCTTTATGGGATTACAAGAATGTAAAACAACTTTTCACAAATCATTAATACCTATCTAAGAAAATACAAGGAATGTCTAATATGGGTGGGACTTCCTTTATATTGTGGGGGGAGGGGAGTCTTCAGAATATATACAATAAATGGAGACTGTTTTAATAAAGAGGTTTGGGAGGGCCGAAAGTATCTAAAGAGGAGAAAAAAATGAAAACTTAATAAATGGAGGACTCTTAAGCTGATGGACAGAAATCCGTCTATTAGATATGAAACCACTTTAACATTTCTGTTCTAAAAAGAACAGAAATGGTAAAGTGAGTTCAAATTCTGCCCATGACTGCTTATAATCTCTTAATCCTAACACCTTTGAGACAGACATGAATTCAACTCTCCCTACATTCGAGATCATACTTATTATAAAACCCAGGTTGTGCGTGTGTCTGTTCGTTTATATACTGGATTGGATTTCCTACATTTTTCAATAGATTTCAACAAAACTTCACAGGACTACATAAAATTATCTTGCGGTAGTTCTGACAGTGCCAAAAATTGGAAAAACACAATTGTTTTTGCACGAAATTAATTTGAAAACACGATTAAGAGGCATTAATTAAAGGGGGACAACTCATATTGAATTATACTTATTATAAAACTCAGGTTGGTTGTTTGTGTGTGTGTTCGCTTATATATGGGATCGGATTTCCTACATTTTTCAACCAATTTCAACAAAACTTCACTTTCTTTTTTTTGGCTGGTAATGTTTCCTATTGTCTTGCACACTTTTTTCTTTATTTTTACATTCAGAATGCTTTAAAAATTCCATTTACAAGACAATTGTTTATAATAAAACTCTATTCAATCGGTAGACTCATAACGATTGAAAACAATGTTTTTGTTTGAGTTTGACCAAGTCATAAAAAAAAAAAAAAAAAAACTAATTAAGACATGTGTGTCCGTCAACCTCAAAGAATAATCTTTGTCAATTTTATTTTTCAGTCTTTATGATGGTCGATACTTGATCTATCTCTTACTGTTACATCCCCGGGCAACACTGAGCTCTACTGCTAGTATGTACTAAATAAATTCACTCAGTTGTGTAAAAATTGCCAACATACACAATGAAATTTAAACAAAAACAAAACAACAAAAAAGTTCTGATTTTAGCTGAGGACGATTGTATTTAACATGCACTCATGCCCTTGGGAAAAGAAGGAATTAATTTCTCTTTGCAGTCATGCCACATTAGTTGATGGCAAAGAGTAGATGAGTTTGTTCAGCCAAGAATAAAAAGCTGTTGTTACACACAGTCAACATTGACAATGTTTAGACAATATC